TGTGGACAGATTGCCTTCTGCACCCAGGAGTCAGGTGCTCCCTGGGACAGCCTTCTCCCTTGAGCCTACAGTGTGTCCTCTTGTGTTGGACAGTGGTTTGCAGTGTGCCTTTCTTGGTATTTGTGCAATACTGTACCTCCAAAAGGTAATGTGGGAGTACATTTTAAGAGGCTGTCTTCACACTTAATATGACAGCTTGGGCATGGAACTGTGGCCCAAGAGTCAGCACTCCACAGCATCTGAGTATTCAGGTACCTGATGCTTCACCTGTGGCTGGTTTTTTCTTTTCCGGAAGCTTCTATGAGCTCCTGTTTTCTCAAGCACTGTGAAACCCTGCAGTGACTTGGTTTTCTCATGTCTTGGCTGGACCTGTGAAATATGGGATTCCCTGCCCTTCTTTTTTTGTTTATTTTTTGAGACAGGGTCTCACTATGTAGTTGAGACTGACCTGGAACTCACTATGTAGCCTGGTCTCGAACTCACAGCGATCCTCCTGCCTCAGCCTCCCGAGTGCAGGCGTGTGCCACCACACCCTGCTCCCTGCCCTTCTATTAGGAGGTGTCTCCTTGAATATTCATCTTTCTCCACTTTGGAGATGTGCCACTTAGGCTGCTATGCCTTCTCTTCCCCATCAGCTCACGAACCTTTCTTCTATTTCGTGGGAGGTTTTCTCCACTTTATCTTCCCCATAACTAATGACTGAGCCCTTTCATTTATGTGACCCCATTTCTAAGAGCATTTTTGTTTCCCGGATGCAGTTACCCCTTCACTCTGAGAATACTGATGTCATCCCCTCCCCCATTTCCTTTTCTCCCTCTAGAATACCTGTTTGTCTCGTGAGCCTTGGTATCCATTTGTACTGAAGAAAGGGCCACAAGATCCCCCAGTCTCAGGCCCATCTCCCCACGGTGTGGCCTCTGCATTGACAGTGTCCATTTCACTCACTAGAAATACCAGCAGCCAGCCTCCCGAGGCCAGGGGCTCTGACATCCTCTCCAGGTCCAGTGAGAGAAGCTGCTTAAGGCTAGCTCATCTCCGCTGCAGTGGCCTGGTTCTGCCTGGCTCTTGGCTGCAGCCCAGACTTAGAGTAGCAGGTCTGACGTGGCTTAGGCTGGGCTCTTGGGACTCAAGTGGAAAATAGATAGGGGCCTTTCTGCTCTCAACCACGCACAATGACCACTGTCCTGTCCTGGGGCCGAGGAAGGCTGTCCACTGCCTGGGCCGGCATCCAGGTGCTGCAGCTCCTCACTCCTCAGCAGTCCACTTCAGGGAGCTCCGGACCTGCTGTGAGATGGTTCCTCAGCCCCCATCCCGGGACGGGCTTGTCAGAGTGCCTGTGTCCATCCACCTTTCACCTCCCAGGTTTTTGCCGCATCCCCCACTTCTCAAGTTTGCATATGCTTACATTTCAGAAGATCCGTTTAGTGCGGTTTGGGCAAAAGCAGAAGTAGGCCCGCTGTCCTGCCTCCAGGCTGCTGTCACAATGAGGGGCGTTGTCGGGGGAGGGTGCCTTAGAAAGCACACCTTGCCAGCGCAGCTCTGTGGTCTGGAGCGCAGCAAGGTAGTCTGAGGCTCACTCACATTCGGTTGCACTCACGGACCTTAGCAGGGGTGCTCCCGTTACCTGGTTTACAGATGCAACAAAAGCCCAGAAGGGCTCAGCGACATGCTCAAAATCATCCAGAAAGACTGGGACTTGATTCTGAATACAGGCAACTTTATGCCCAACTCACTCCACATAGAGAAGAGGCAGGGGCTGGAAGACATGATTGGTTAAGATACATAGCTCTCTATTTTCACTATCCCGTTCCCCACCCAGGATGATTTTGTTTTCAAGGAGGTGATGTGATGCCCTTTACTCTTGTCTGGCTGGCAGATTTATGTCATCCAGCAGCCCTATAGTTAATTTGTCTCTAGAATCCAAGATAAAGCACACTTAGGAGGCTGTGGAGAGCAAGTACCAGGATATAACATTCCTCGCTGCCCCCCACCTGTGCTGGCTTCCTGAGACGCCACCAGTCTCAGAAGTGAGCTGCTTACTGAGCCTCAGAACCGGGGTAGCCACAGACCGCACCCACTGTGGTCTGTGCCACCTGGCCTGGCTGTGGGAAGCCAGCCCTCTGCCACACAGGAACGGGAGGAGGCCATGAGGGATGTGGGGGAACAGCCCTGCTGTGGCCCAGGAGGGCAGTAGCAACCAGAGCTGGGGCCTAGAGAAAGGGGCTGGAAGCGGGTACTGACAGGAATCGCTGCTCAGCTTCACAGATGAGGACAGCAGGATCCACTTAATATGGCTGGCCTGGTAGACGCATGCAGCACTGCCATGGCCCACTGAGCCCAGCAAGGGCCTTGCGAGGGGCTAGATGATGCTCACCCACCAATCCAACTACAGTGTGGCCTTGCCAGACAGAGGGCACCTGTGGTGCTGCAAAAGCCTGCAGTGCTGTGACCACAGCCCTTCTTGTCTTCCAGAGGCAGCCCAGCAGGAAAAGTGGAACAGAGAGCTCACTACCTGGAGGGCTGTGGTTGGGGAGCACGACCGACTGATGCAGGGCTGGAGGAAGGCATGGGTATGTACCTGACCAACAGGCCCCATTCTATCAGCAGGCCCTCTTGCTTCCTTTCAGCCCACTGAGCAATTGTTTTTAGAATCCTGCAGCCCTGAGGGAATCCTCTCTCTCGTCACTGAGGCTGTAAGGGATTGAGGGGCCCTCAGATGGACCTTACAGAGACTGAGGCAGGACTGAGAGGCCAGTGGCTGGCTGTCAGGCCCCACAGCTGTCCTGCCCCTGGACAGGGCCCTGAGCCAGTTGCTGTAGGCAGCCTGTGTGGGTGAGGCTGCCTGCTGGAGGCTCTTGGCTAGGTGTTGGGGAGCAGGGAGAGGTGATACCCGGGCCCCACCACCAATACTGCAGAACCAGGACAGCAGTGTGCCCAGGAAGGGGTTCTCTCACAAGGTGGAAGCTGTCCTGACCCCAGGCTCCCAAGTCCCTGGCACTGCCTTTCTGGCTGCCGCCACCAGAAGGCAAGGCCACAAGTTTACTTCTAAATTGGCGGTCAGAGGAAGGGCTGTGGGCAAAATGGCTACTAAGAGCTCCCTGGTTTTTACCATTCAAAGATGAGTGTTCATGGTTGGTCTCTATATCAGAGCACACAGGCCTACAGCTATCCCCAACCCCTCCTGAGAATGCTGGGGCTGAGCAGTCCTGGCTGCCCAGAGTACCTGTTTGCAAAATAAGTCAAGCAGAAGGGCTGTATCTGCCTCGACATCACCTGTGGGCAACCCATGCCCAAGTGCTCTGCTCCTTAGACTCCAAGGCACCCTCACCAGGTGACCTGAGGCGCCAGGCCTTTACAGTGACACCTGAGGCAGTCTATGGGAGAAACCGGGCTGCAGAGCAGAGGCTGTACATTCTGCCTAGGACTCAAGACTGCCTTGTTGTTTCAGGAAAGCTGTAGCAAGGATACCTTCTAACCACAAGGAGGCAGTTCCCGACAGACCAAGTGGACGCCGCTACCTCCAGACATGGCACCCCATGGGCTCCAGAACCCAAGGCAGCGAGCTGTTTGCCTTGCCAGTTGTATATGCAGTCACTGGGCCACAGCCTGAATGAGTAGTGAAAAAGCACTAAAGCCCCAAGGCAGTCTGGGACAATACCTCCGACCTTTGTAAAATTAAGCGCTTAGGTAGGCACAACGGAAGGTCTGCCTGGAACAGGTGACCAGGCTGGTGAGGGGCCGTCACATTAGAACAGCTCCTCCTCCTCATTAGCCCCCTCCACGATTGCCAGGACTCCACTTTACACACATACCCCTAACCTAGAAGAGCCAGCAGACTGGTGCAGTGAGCCCCTTCCCTTCCTTGGGCTTTATGGGTGGAAGTCAAGCCTGCAGCTGCCCCCACCCAAAAATCTCACCATTTAACTGAATCCACTTGCAGGATGGGAGGGTGAGGTTCAAGTGAATGTCTGTCACCTGCTACCCTGTGTCGAGCTCAGTGCTGAGTGGGTCTGTAATGTCCCTGTCGGTCCTCACTGATCTCTGAAGGCTGGGCTCTGTTTGCCAAGACTGTGGCTCTTGCCTGTGACTGTTCACTCTGTACTCTGCTTCCACAGTGGGACACTTGCTTGTGAGGCGGAAGAGCCAGCAGGTCAGAGGTGCGAATCTCCTGGTGCCGTATTAAACGTTCTTCACAGTAGTCTGAGTGACGAGTGTTTTGTTATACTTGCCACCGAGTCCCAACAGGTACCACAGACCTGGAGCCCTCCAAGAAGGGCCTTTGAATAATAGACCTTCATCTACAATAGAGATTTTAAAGTATTTTCTGACGCATTAAATTTAAAAATTCTACCTGCTGAGTACAGCTGATAGGCTATTTAAATTTTTCCCATAAAATACACGTGGAGTTTTTATTCTCAAACTCCTACTTTCAAACTTACTACATCAACTTCCTCTCAATAAGATGCCCTTGTCCTATCGTACTGACCTGGCCAAACAACCACTTCCCACACTGGCACAGCTGCAGGCCATGTGCTGATCATCATGAGCCCTGAAAATGGCCACCAACCTATGGTCACACTGCCAACCCTGTCCACAGCACACCATTCTGACTCATTTGTCCAGTCTGACCTGTTCATCACAGACTACATCTCAGACACACGATGTGCAGCATGACTAAATTCAACAGGAGCTCCCAAGCCAAAACTACCTGTTTGCTTGGCAAGCAGACAGCGAAAACTCTTCCTGACACTGGCTTTGGTGAAGGGAACACAAGCGCTGGTCAGACTGACAGGCCCCTCCACAGCAGGTCTATGTCAGGCCCAAGACTTTGGCAGGTGCCACTGCTAGAACCTGGGAGGGCCACAACACATGGCCATCTTGCCCTGCTTGGTCCCTTCAGACCAGAGGCCAGTGTCTGAGAGGGGTAATTCAGGACGCAGGAATAACCAGTATGACTGAGACCACTGACAAGCCTACAAGCACCAGAGTCTGAAATGAAATTAAATAATCACTCTTTATTCAAAATAAATAGGCCCTTTTTCTTACAGGGAAAATATGAAAGTAAGCTCTGCCCCCTGGCCTCTATGACAGAAATCACATTCAGAATATGTTCATTTAAAAAAGAAAGATCTGTAGATTAATAAACAAATCTAGAACTTCAATACACATATTTTCTTTGGAAATACAGACTAAAAGGAAGTTTCAGGTTAGAAAACCATGTTCCTTCTGAGGCTCATTTTAGCAAATCCTCCCCATCGTTAAGCTGAAGAGCTGTGTCCCCTGAGAACGGCCCCTTCCCCACTGCCCACTGTGCCAACCTCAGCATCCCTGGAGAGGCACAGCTCCTCTCGTGCCCCTGCTGCAGCCCCTGCAGGAGGAACCACCTGCCTGCCTGCCTGCCTGGACTCCCTTGGTTCACTTGTGTACAGTGAGGGGGAAGCCTCCTTAGCAGCCGAAGTGCCCAAGTATCACATCTTCCAGTGTCCTCCAGACCCACGATGTGCTCAGAGCCAAAGCCCTACCAGCAGGCTTCTAGGAAAGGTTTCTGCTGGTGGCTCTGCCTGCCGGTCAGATGGAATCCAACACTTCATGTGCCTTTTGTGTCGGTTAGTTTCCAAATTCAACAGTCATACAAAATACATTAGGCCAGTGAAAACCTGAGAAGAAAAAGCCCCAAAGTCTTTTTAAGCCTTCCCCTCCTTACCCACAATACACAGACACACAGGAAAGAACTCTCTCCTTATAAATTCAACTTTGTCATCTGAGAGGCTGAGGCTTCCAAGGATTCTTCCAGCTCCAGGGCACAGCGATTGTACACTTCCAGATGCTTTCTCCAGATTTCAACTAGAACAGGAAATGGCACCAGTGAGGGGCAGGCACAAGTCATAAAACCCTTCTTCTTGGGAAGCCAGTGAGGAGAATGAGAAGCTCCCTCTGAGGCTTAGATGGGGCCCTGGAAGGCCTCGGTCACACCCGAGAGAGTATCCCAAGACTCCACTCGGCCTCCCAAAACAGTCTTGGGTATGGCTACCTTGAAGACTGCTCTGGGTGACCTCTGCCTTGACATCTGTGTGGGACAGACATTCGGGCCCTCATAATTTCCAAAGTCTTGACAGGCAATGGCCTGGACCTCCAGTGGGTCTCACACCATGGCTGCCAGGGTGCTCTCCCGAGGATCCAAATAAGCCACAGGGCGCTTGTCCCGACACTCACGGTAGTGGGGCTCTTCTCTGGAGGGGGCCAAGGGGCTGTTCTTGGCAGAGCTGCTGGGGCCCTCTGAGGGTGGGCTGGGAGGCGTCTGAGGCGTGGGCTCTCCTGCCAGCTCCCGTCGCACATTCTCCAGCATGGTCTTGTATGCCTGCCGGGCTGCCATGGTCAGTTCAACCATCTTGTGGAATTGGTCCTTGGACACAAGGTGAGAGCACAGAGGTAACATTCCAGGATGAGCCTTGGTACCCTGCACACTCGGCGATCGCCTACCACAGAGAAATGGGCAACAAGCCTCTGCGGATGCTGGGGATGCCACTTAGAGCAAACAGTGGGCTACCTGAGTCACCTGTGTCAGTCAGCCTAGAGCCAAGTTCACACCTCAGCACGAGGCACTCTCAGGAGGCTAAGACCACTGTTTTATGAGAGGTTTCTACCTCAGTGGTGGTGTCCCCAGCGCCGGTGTAGCAGAGGTACTAGGCCACCCTGTAGGCGGACAGACTACCATCCTCCAGCTCCCTCCTGGGTCAGGCCCCATCTCACCTGTGCCCCATCGTAGCTGAAGATCCCCACAACGCTGACAGGAACTGTTTTGTTCAAACTGCGCCCCAGAGCCTTTCGATTGAGAGCAAACACAAAGGGAATGTTCTGCGCACAGGCGCAATCGATGATAGTGTGCAGAGTATCGTCCAGCCCACCTGGTCAGAGGGTAAGGACACACCAGACGCTGCAGATGAGCCTGATTATAAGACAGCAATACACCTCATGTACAGCTTTATACCAGCTCTGTCAAATTCCACCAGAGAGACCAGGTGCAGCCACATGGGAGAATCAATTCTCCAGAAGACACCTCCATAATATAACAACATAGTGTACAGCTGCATCGTGCTAATGGAAAAGTTAAGCACTAGCTAGTACTACTCTGTATTTACTTCCTGCCAGGCCACAGATCCACTACTGTATATGGATCAGCTCTGCATCCAACCCAAACTCTAAAAAGCAGATGCTGAGCCCCCACTTACAGACAAGACCAGAGCCCCAGGGTGAATTCCTTGCCCTACACGGGCCCTCTGGCAGCTCTCTAAGAGCTTCTAAGAGCTCACTGCCTCCTCCTGCCTGGGCCAGCCAAGGAGAGTGAAAGTGGTGGAGGTAGAGAGAGTCCCACAACACCAGGGAGCACTCCAACAGCAGGAGGTGAGGCCCTGGGCACACGGCTCACTAAGCCCCACAGCAGACAGAAAATCCATCACAGGGATTACTCAACTCACATCCTCACCCGGAGATTGCAGTGGATAGGAATATATTTATTCAGCAACATGAAAGATTTACAGAACCACTTCCACATGTTAATTAACACCAGAGTACACAAAAAAGCATCTATGCTCTTGGATAGGATGATCTAAAATGACACAATGACATTTCTACATTAATTTTAACCTTCAAAATTTAAGCTTAATACAAGCAGGATTTCTTTTTTTTTTTTTTTTTTCTTTTGTACCAGGTACTGAACTCAGGACCTTGTGCTTG